TTTGGAAAACGTAGAAGGGAATTGGATCAGATACCATCGTATGAAAAAAAAAAATCCCCATTTTCAGTGGAAAAACTGTTCAAGTAATTTCATTGCTACTATGGTCTCCATTGCTGTTTCTAGCTTTTGAAAAGTACTTTCTCGATTCTTCCAAGTGTGATGCTGAGCTGTAGTCCCATCCCATGTGGTCTCTATTCAGGGAAGAAAATTTCCTGCCTTACCAAGATGAAGATAGAAGAGAAAAATGCCAGTCCTCATGGAATGTGGGCTTGAAATCTGGGTAGCCCTTTGCAGCAGGAGAATGTGAGATACATTTGTTCCAGCTTGCCCTGGGAGACAGAAAGGAAAATTAGGCAATTGTTGTGTGAGAGAATAGAAAAGTGAAACCCAGCAGGGTTGGTTTCTGTTCACAAACTGGAGTGATGTGATGTGTTTTTTGAATTATGTAGAATGGTCTGAATGAAAAATGAGATTTGAGTGATGAGTTTTGTGGTCTCTTTTTTTTTTTGCATTCATTTATTTTCACTTAGACCTATGCTGAATTCTTTCTACTTATAGAGAAGATCCAGCCCTTGCAGCAGAGTGTTCTGGAGCCGATGTCCTTTTACTTAGAATAAGCTTTCACATATGAGTTCAGCTTCACTAAATTAATTTACATTTGAAATAAGCTAATAAAAGTTCTTCATCAAGTCTTTAATTCTCAGTCTTCTTGCAGAGAAGGGTTGAAGAGCCCAAGGTTTTGCATGTTTCTTTTTTTCCTCTTTTTGTGGTATAAACTTGGTTCTTAAGCAGTTCCTTTCTTGAATAAAGTAGGAAGGTTTCAGGTATTGTTTGGTTCGTAGGGCTTTGGGAATAAAGAAACCACATAGATCAGGTACTTCTGTTAAGCAGACCTTCAAAGGAGTAAGAAATACAGAAGACTTGGATTTGTGCATTTATTTTTGGCTCTTAAGGTTTATCAAGACTGCCTGAAAGGAGGAGGGGAGATCTGTTCCAAACCCAAGTTTCAGTGATGGTAATCTTTTTGCATCTTAGAATACTGAAGGAAGAAGAACAAAGATGGTAACGGTGCTGGTCTTCACCCAAGGCACTGTTTTTTTGTTGAAGTTAAATTGGTGTTAATAAAAGTTGCTCATCTGATACTAAAAATGCCCCTTGCTTTACCGCTTTTGGCTCCTGGCATGTCACCATCTCATTATGTTCTGGGCTAGACAGGGCTTGAATGCCGATGTCTAAAACAAGCAGATTTTCTTCCTCCAATAAAGCTAGTGGCCATTTTTCTTTTCCAAGCAAGAGAAAATGGCACGAACCCAGTTCTCTTCCTTTTCAGGTCACTTTTAAATGTCTGAACATGCGTTCCCACTGTACTTTCTGGAAGTCCTACACTTGTTCTAACGCGTGGAAATTCTGGCAGCCCTCTAGATCCTCCCTGGGCACCACCATCAAACTTTGCTCTTTCGTTTCTCACTACTGCAGTTCCATGCCAGAACTGTGAACAGCATTTTTTCTGAACATGTCAAAGTGCCACCTTTTCCTCTCAGATGAGCAAGCGTTTAACATTCCCTGCTTTCCTCAGTGACTCTAGCTGTTGTCACTGTGTACTATTTTGCACTAACCATAATTAAGTTCAGCAGTTTTGTATTTTCTTGAAATACATGAAGAAATCCTCATGGTGGTTGTGGATTTTTTTTTTTCCCCTGGGATGGGCTATAGGTGAAGGCATCATGGTGAAGGTGGCTGGGAGGCTGATGTACACCAGTTGCCTCCACAAGTCCCAGAGAGGACTCATCTGTTTCACCTGCCCTGAAATATGAAATATATTTCTGTGTAGCCTCCTGTTCATAAAACAGCAGCTGAGGTTTGTGGTGTTTTATGTACACGCAGCTTTTTATGACAAAGTAGGGATTGTTCTCCTTTGCCAGGTTTGCCCGGGCTTTTGTTTCCAAGTGCGGCGTGTAAGCACACCACCGAATTGTTTGGAGTGGAACAATGTTAATGAGGTCACTTCTGCATCGCCGCATGACAAATAACGTGCAGAATAATCTACCGGTTTAGTAATTTGATTTGCTGGCTACTGTGTTGTTGCGTAGCCGTAATTCTCAATCAGATCTTCCTTCCCTGTCCTCCTTAATCTATAAATCTCTCCCACTTGTTGCGTTGGTGGCTTGAGTAGTTGCTGCTTTTTTTTTTTCTTTCCTCTGGTGTACAGCATTTCTTTAGCATGTTCTTCTCGTGCCTTTTCCTTCATTTTTTTATAATATTCAATCTTTACGCAACATCTTGTCCTTGATGGGCATATAGAGGCCTGAAGAGGATGGTATTCCCGGTAATAAAAGGGCTGTAATTAGGGATTTTTTGTTCTAATTTCCATCACAGGGCTAGAAGCACTAAGCACTGTGCAGTATTGAGACATTGAGGAGCTTGGTCTCATCCTTAAAGGCAGGACAGCAGAATTTTGGTGCTCCTGAGTCTAGCTGCAGATGAGGATGCCCTCCTGAGTGGCATGGGGCCTCTCCAGCTTGGCAGATCACCCAGGAACTGTTTCTTCTTCTAGTTGTGGGATTTTCCTAAGCAGGAGTGATCGCTGCGGCTGTTTATTGGCTTAGCTGTGTCTTCCACCAAGGCACGCGGATGTCAGCATCGGATGTTGTGCCCCCGAGAGGGCCAGCAAGTGAGCTGCTGTGCTTCATTTACTCTGTTTGTAGGACAAACACTGGTGATGGGGAGGAAAGCAGGTCTGAAAAAATCCCTTTATGTGCTTGCTTGCTGTTGGAATCCATTGGAGTGAAAAGTAGCCCCCCAGAAAACCTGAACCATGACAGAGCATGAGGATGGGAGAGGTGCGACTGCGAAAAGAAATATTCACCAGACTACTGGAGTCGTTCCCCAAATCTGGGGAATCTATTTACATGACAAACCCGGTCTTCTGGTTAGAAACTGAGCTTTGTCCTCCTGCTCAGGCCAAGCCCCGGTTGTGATGGGGTGGGAATGCTGCCCTTCTGGGATGAACAGGAGGGCAGCAGCTCTCCAAGGAAGTGCTGTAATAGCATCTCTTTTCAAAGGAACCAGGAAAACCTTGCTGGTTGTGTGGGATGTTGCCTGTTTCGGCCCAGTCTTTAACCCTTCCCCTTCAGGATCAGGCAGTAGGACCAAAGCAGGACTTTGAAGAAGAAATAATGATGGCAGTACTCAAGGGGAGTGCTCTGTCATTGCTGGGGACACCCAGAATCATGAAGTGATTTCAGTTGGAAGGGGATGTTGTCTTGTTCAGCCCTCCAGCTCCAAGTGAGGATAACCTCAAAGTTAGGACAAGTTGCTGTAACGAGTCTTATTTTTAATTAGTGCTCAGGTCTGCAAAGATGCAATCATCAGGAGGAAAAACGAGCTGGAAGCACTAAAATTGCATTGACCAAAAAGAAGTTACAGTCCCTCGTGTTGTGTTCCCCCTTGTCTCTTCCTTTGGAACCTGCGTTGCCTCACTGCAAACCTCCTTCGCTGCAGTGGGAAGGGCCACGTCTGACATCTGGAGACCACATCCATCTTTTGCATCTCCTGAGCTATCTTCCGAGTACTTCTCGGTGTGCAAATTCTCCTGTCGCTTGCAATCCAAACAGGCAAACTCGTATGAAAATGCAGCGATAGTTGGGACACCTGGAGTGGATGGACAGGAGTGTGTTGGATTGCGTCCTGTATAAAATCACCAGTTGCAGACTGACTGAACATATTGGTTTCTTCCTTCATTGAGAGTTTATCTGAATGCTGGACTAGGAAATGATTGCTCTGGCTAGTAGTGGTAAAGACTTGCTCCTAACTGGGGAGAGGATTTTATATGCTTCTGACCCAAAAAGCTGCAGCTGATTTTCCAGAGTGTGGGTTACTCATTTGGATATGTTTGTTATTGCCTTGTAGATAAAACTGGCTTCTGCAAAAACTTCATAAATGCTGCTGTGGTGGTGTGATGAGCTGAACTGAGGAACTGATCTGGGCTAAAATGTCTGTGGTTTTATTTTTGAGACTTTTTTCCTCGTACTTACTGCTTGATTTTAACCTCCTGTGTTCCTTGGCTCAGCTCTCATGCAGCTGCGGTGTGTCCTGGCACGAGGGCAGTGCCACAGGGACAGAACACGCGGCAGAAGAGTTGGACTGGCTTCCTTCCTTGGTAGAGGCAGCTTAGTTCTTCCAACCTCAACTTTGTGTACTCATTGGGGTACCACGGAAATAATCTTTCATGCTCTACATGAGTTAAATATAATTTCAGGAAGTGTCCATTTGCTGCTGATGTATAAGAATGATATTGGTGGTGTTTAAAAAAATTCTGTTCCTGAAGATTTCCCTGGACAGCACTGCTCTTTGATATCCCCGTAGCTGTCAAAGGCCTCACAGGTGAAAGGGAAGCCCCATGCGGGCTTTTGTGGAAAAGTCTTCAGTGAGGTGTCACATAAGCGGGGAAAAAGGGACCTGACAGGAAATGTGAAAATGCTCCAGGAGGAGAAATGTCTTTTTAGCTGGCAGAAGCTTTTTTGGAAGCATGATAGAGTCTTACTGCGTGTTTTCAGGTACTTTTTGGATGGTGTTTTACAACTGCAGGTGTCTTGGATTGATAACAGCATGGTATCAGCTCACTGTCAGGCTTGAATTTTCAGTGGACCAAACACTCGATGGTGAGGAAAGCAAGATGCCTTCCCCTGGCAGTTACAGACCATTGCTACTGCTGTGATTTTGGAGAAGGGCATGAAATTACCTATCCAGTGCAGCACTGTGACAGTAGCATAGATAAAATGCATTATTCCTTATGGGGTTTTTGCCATCTAGCTGCTCCCATTTTGGAAATATTTTCAGGCCTGACTCAGAAGAGGATCTCAATGATGAAAGGGAAGAAGCAAATAATGCATTTCAGTTGATGTGTGATCTCTTCCTGCCACAGGAACCTCTCTAACTTCACAAAACTCTTGTGGGTTCTGTGTTTTCCCTGCTAACAGTGCTCTCTGTCCTGTGAACAGGAAAAAACCATTGAGAAGGACGGGGGCTGCAACCACATGGTCTGTCGGAACCAGAACTGCAAAGCAGAGTTCTGCTGGGTGTGTCTGGGCCCCTGGGAGCCCCACGGATCTGCCTGGTGAGTTCAGGAGCGTGCCTTGCTGGAAAGCGAAGAAGCTGTGATGTGACTTGGACTGTAATCTGTGGAATTGGTGTTCCTGTTACAGGTACAACTGTAATCGCTACAATGAGGATGATGCAAAGGCAGCAAGGGATGCACAGGAGGTGAGTCCATAACCTTTGGCGATAAGTCAGCTCACTGACCCTGTGGCATGCTTTCGGGCTTTCTGTAAACTCATAAATCTGCTCTGAAATATTTCCTGGATTTGGGCACAAATCCAGGAGACAGTTAAGTTCCCTGGCATCTTTGGACTCTTGCCTTGTGCCAGAAAAAAACGCGTTCAACGTCACTTTAACCCATTTTAATGAACACATTAACTCAGTTGTTACCTGTCATCCTGCCTTGCCTGTTTTATAGCAGCTCTTCCCATCAAGTCATCCTAATGCTGTGGGTCTGAGACAACAATCCTCACATCCTTCATAAAATGCTCTTTACCACAAAGTCAATGTGAATCCTGAGGTGTTTAAACACAGCAGACCTTTTGAATGTAAACAGAACAGACCGCTGTCATTCCAATAACTATACACGACATAGAGGAAGTTGCAGCTGCATTAAATTGTTCTGTGAATATGGATAGAGCCAAACCCTTTTTAATGAGGAGGGATTGCGTGCTGTGTGCTTGCAGAAATCCATTTCCTGCATCTCTGTCAAAGTACAGTGATAGCCAAGACCCAAAGTATTTCCTGTAGCCCCTCCTCCTGTGGGTAGGGATGACTTTGGCTGATACGTGCTACCTTTGGACATCCACATTATACTAGTTTAACCGAGCCCATGTTGTCATTTTTTTTCCCAGCTGATCTGTCAGTGAGAAGAAAATAAGTCCAGTGACTGGAACTGAGATGCTGAAATTCAAAACTGATCGGGCTTCAGCAATGTGATTCTAATTACTTTCAGGGTTGGGAGTGAGGGTGTCACAGCTGAGCTAGGAAGTCCCCCACATGACAGCTAGGGACATGGGTCTGGCCTCTCATCCCTGCTCAACGTCAGGGTTAATGGTGCTGCGCAAAGCGGCGCCGTCTAAGTCCGGCCAACGTGAGAGGAGAGGAAACACCTTGGGAAAGGAAGCTGGTTCTCTGGGTCAGGAAGAGCCTTGTGAAGGGTTGACTTCTCTTGCAGCCATTGCTTTGTTTTAACTATTTGTTTTCTTTTTCCCTAATGGGAATTAACACAGCGATCCAGAGCAGCCCTGCAGAGGTACCTGTTCTACTGCAACCGCTACATGAACCACATGCAGAGCCTGCGCTTCGAGCACAAGCTCTACGCTCAGGTGAAGCAGAAAATGGAGGAGATGCAGCAGCACAACATGTCGTGGATCGAGGTGCAGTTCCTGAAGAAAGCAGTCGACGTCCTCTGCCAGTGTCGTGCCACACTCATGTACACTTACGTCTTTGCCTTCTACCTCAAAAAGAATAATCAGTCCATTATCTTTGAGGTAGGAGAAAATGTGGTGGTCAGGAGTTCAGATTACACAGCTAAGTGAAATAGGGATGTCTCCGGTTGTACAGAAATGACTCTGTCTTAATATTCTGTTGTACAAAAGTTAGAGGTGCTGCTGGGCACCGGGCAGCATTCTCTGCTGGAGGAAGAAGCAGAGTTACAAGTTACCGCCTTCTGGAACAAGAAAGGCATTGAGGTTCTGTCTTGAACTGGCGAAGAAAGCATTAGAATTAAATCTAGCATCTTGCCTTTCCCCAGGTGTTGGCTGTTTTCCAAAGGCACTACCAGTAAAATTGCACTTAGAGGTCCACTTTGTAGGTGAAACTGTACTGGCTGTTTATGATTTAAACCAGTCCTTAACTGGTCTTGGTGCAGAACTTAAGCAGGATGCCTCTGTGCTGTGTGCTCAGCAATGGGTGCGCAGGATTTCAGAGCAGTGGTGAAAGCTGTGCTCTGATGCTGCTGCATGGGTACCAGGAGTCAGTAGAGGCTTTGGTAACGGTGGGGAAAAAAAAAAATAGACAAGGGGCAGGATGGGAGATGAATTGTCTTCTACTGCACTATACTGCTAGTAAATAAATTATTTTTTAGGCTTTGATATTGCAGATGAAGGAAGACATAAGACCTGCTGGTAGATATGCAGATTCTCTTCTCATCAGGTTAAGAAATTTCAGCTTTTTCAATCTTGATGCTCAGAGCAGGTTACTGAAGTTTTATACAACGTATATCTCATCCTGCTTTTTATTTCAGTACTGATTTCAGCTGGATTGATTGGAAAAAAAAAATATCTTCCTTTCCTGCCCCCCCCACCCCAAATACTCCTTTCTTTCTTTGTTTTTTTTGTCTCTGCAGAATAACCAAGCTGACTTAGAGAATGCTACAGAGGTTCTTTCTGGCTATCTTGAGCGAGATATATCCCAAGATTCGCTGCAAGACATAAAGCAGAAAGTACAGGATAAGTACAGGTTTGTTTTTGAATAATCCTCTATCTCAAAGCTGCCTGAGTATTGCTGTCCCGTGTGACAGGTAGAGGCATGTGTACTTGCCAAGCTATGGTTTTTCTCCTGATTCCTGTCCCTGGGAAGCTGTTTGCTGTTGGCCTTCTGCCATCCATTGCGATCATCAGCCAGTTCCTGGGCATCTGAGAAAAGCAGCAGCAGCGTCCCACGCCAGCCCCTGAAATCATCAGCAGCGAAGCCCTCGTGCAGATGCTGGCAGAATGTTTTTGTGCCCCTGCTGGGACCAGTTCTCTGGGGAGGTGACAGGCTGCAGGGACAGGTTCCTGACTCTGCCTTGCATCTGGTCTGCTGAGCAGTAGCTGGAAGATTCAGTCCTGTAACAGAAAAATAGTGTGACCAGAAGCGATGGCTCCTCATACTCTGCTCTTCCTGCACAGAAGGAGCATAGCCAGGACCAAGATGGGACAAGGAGTGACTATCTTGTTCCCAGCTGACAGCTTTGACCTAGGATCAGTTACCATAAGAGAGCAATCGGTTCTTTTATTTGGTCCATTTGTGCAAGAGGTGGGTGTAGCAAAGCTGTCCTTAAAGAAGAAGGAGAGAACAACAACCTGCCCAGCTGGGGAGGAGAGCTGAAGAACTGGGGTTCCAGGTGACACACATGCCGATACTTTTTACAGTCCCAGGGGAATCTCTTCTGCACAGTGGAAAAATACAAAGCTGTAAATGGGGATGAGTCACAGGATTATGGCTTGTGTTTTGGAGGCATTTTGCCAAAGTCACTGAATCTGTTACGCCTAGCTTAGGGGGAAGAAAAAAAAAAGAAAAGCCAGAGTAGGGTGAGCTGTAGTGACTAAGGGACTCTAGGGAGTGGAAGGAGCTGTTAAGCTGTGGTGGGGCTGTGGCTTGTTCTGGCAGCACAGCTGGGGCTGGACGAGACCATCAGATCTTCTCTTTTAAGACATTTTTATGATTTACTCTTTAAGAGCACTGTTAAGTCATTAGCTCAAGCTGCTTGTTCACTTGAGTCTTCTGAAACTGGGCTGGTAACAGCTAGCCAGAAGTAATTAAAACCTTGTATAGCCTAAATTGCCTGAAAACATAGTATCCCAAACCCACCTTCATGTTTCTGGGAAGAAAGTATGAATCTGTCAAGCCTGTGCAGGTCCCTAATGAACTAGTTCAGTCACGTCTTAATCGTGTCCTGCACGGTGCTCTGTGCGTACTGATGCAAGGATGTTATCGAGGTGAGTTTAAAGAGCTCTGGGAAGCTGCAGGAACTGACCTCCGAGCTAATTTGGTTTCAGCTGTTTTGAGTTCTTAGCTTGCAAAGACATTTCTAGAAAACACGCTGAAACCCCCACCACCAGCAGCAAAATAACTGAAGCTGGGAAAGCAGGAACTGTACGTGTTCGCTATCACATGCTTCAGAAAAATCAATGGCACTTTGTGTACGATGAGTTCTGCTGCAACAGCTGATAGCAATGAGAAGAGCCAGAACAGTTTTATTCAGGGAAATCTGTCTGATCAGATGCCGAATGGTAGCAGCATAAGGGCTGCGGGTTAAGGTGAGGCGTTTCTGCCTTTGGACTGCTGCGATGTCCTTCTCGTGCCTGTGTGTTGGTGACCAAGGATAGCTTTCTGCTGGGAGATTCCCCCTTTAGCCAGCAGAGGGGAAGGGGCTTAATCCAGAAATGCCTGCTGCTTATTTATAATTTTCTCTTGGAACCTTGAATATTTTAAACATCTCTCTGCTTTTATCTTTTTAGTTGGCTAACGCACCTGAAATGAACATGGCATCTTTTGATATGTTCCTATGATATCCCTTTTCCTCAGTATCATTGATCCTGGTAGGACCGTACCTAACTCTGGGATCAGTTTGATTTGCAGCTTTGGTTAAATGAGTGTAGGTGGGAAGACCTCACGGGGCATAGGGCCCCTCTGAGACCCAGGAGTTGCCATGGGAGGTAAAATTTGTGCTCCAACCAGACTGTAACCCTGTTTTGTAGCCAGCTTGACCGCTTCCACCTCCACCGGGATTTTGTAGGGAATAAAACTGGGTCAGCGCTCCCAAGGTTTTGCTCCTGAATTTTGTTGTCTTGCTAGGGCTCAGTGAGTGGGTGCCAGCCCACATGTGAGGAGACCATCATCCTGTTTCAGGTTTCACCGCTAACCTGTGCTCTGGCTTTTTGCAAATTGCAGCTGCCACTTTTTTTTTTTTGTTATTTCTTCTGGTTTTTTAAGTTATTAATGGAAGTTTCTCAGCTGTAGTGGCTTTGGGGATACTTTTGCATGAGAAACCTTAAATTTGCATGCTGTTTTTTCAGCTAGGGACCTGGAGTTGAGTGACTGGAGTAAGTGAAGTCTTAATTAGTGCTGTTAACAGGCTACAAAACAAAGTCCCTTCTCAGGAGATCTCCTCTTTCAGAAGCGAGGCCTAAAGTAGGTTTGTGTTACTCGATGCTGGGGATGGGCCATGGTTCCTAACCTGCTTTTTCTTGTGATGTTCCTCTTTGCTGCAGATACTGCGAGAGTCGACGAAGGGTTTTGTTGCAGCACGTGCATGAAGGCTACGAGAAGGACCTGTGGGAATACATTGAGGACTGAGACCAGCCCCCGCATAAAACGAACTCTGAAACCTTTACCATCTAGAGTGCTCATGCGATTCAAATAAAACACACGCAAGGCGCTACGCCTGTTACACTGCTGGTCTGTAGTACCGGGATTCTGTTTTGTTAACAGAAAATTTAAGTAAATTATATTGTAATAAAAAAAAAGGTAGATAAACCATTGTACAACAGTATTCTAGGCGGCCAATAAGAGTGTGACAGACGCACTAAAAAAAAAACCCTCCAACTTTAACTTGTAACGTAGCTTCATTTTCCAAGCCGACTCCTTTTTCTTTTCTGTCTTTCTTTTTCCTGTGTGTAGTACAGATGAAATTTAAACCAGTTTCTTGACACTGCTTTTCATGTCCAAACCAGCCATTTTGGTGTACTTTGGTAAGGGGGGGATGGCTCTCCCGCCCCCCTCCTCCTCTCTGCCACCCAAGTACATGGATGAATGTCGATTGGCTCGTTGTAAAGATGATTCTTGGGAAGGGGAGGAGGGGGGGTACACAGCAAGGAAAAAAAGAAAAAAACCCTTTGTATATGACTTTTAAAACAAAAAGAGGACAACACAGTATTTTTCAAAGTTGTATATAGCGCATATGCATGGACAAAGAGCAAGCGTGGCACGTGTTTGCATAATGTTTAATTACAAAAAATATTTATTCTTTAAAAGTCTTCAAGATTATGTCTATTTGCTGTGCATTTTCTTTCAGTTTGAATTTTTGTTTCATTTTGTTTTCCCTGGGATGGGGTGGGGGAAGCGTGTGCTGGTGTAGTGAATTTTTTTTTTTTTTGGAAGGCTTTTACCAGAAAAGTTGAGTTTCTCCTCTTCCTGCGATTCCTTTACGTCCACGGCCTGCACGGTTCTGTGTGTGTATCCATCGCTGATGACGGACCTGTCCCCTCACGCGCAGCTCCTGACACTCGGTGACATGGTGTGCATTGTGTTAGTGCCCAATGTACACTCTAGTTCAGGATGCTTTGCCTTTTTTTCCTTTTTTTTTTTGGCCCCGGATTGATACCTGCCCAAATCCAACTAAGCTGTTCCCATCCATGCACGCAGGACACGTGCTCTGAACCCAGAGGAGGTGTGTGTGGTTAGAGTTTTATTTTTATTCCGAGGCAGGAAAAGGAGGGGTATTTTGCGCCACTTCTCAAAAGACTTTCGGAAAGATTTCGGCTGTGGATCTCCTCTCCCTCCCCTTTCATCTGTCAAATGGAGCGTTCCTTGCTGTTTAAGTTTCACTTACATTATAACAAGTCGTAACGTTGAAAAGGAAAGATGATGGAATTGTCTTTGTGTTTGTTTTGGGCTCAATTACTGGGCATACTTTCCTGGCAAATATTTAACACTCCATCTAGTGCAGTAGAAGTTGAAATCAGTGGGGTATTTTTCAATTAAAAGGGGAAAGAACTAATGAGTTAGCTACTTGAGTCCATTTTTATGATTTCTGTAACCAGAGCTATGTTAAAGTAAACAATTGGTGGTGGTTTTATTAAATTTACTCCTGTATAGGAATTCCTTCTGTGGTATTTTTCGCCAGGCTAGTGTCTCTGCCACTCTCCCAGCTTCAAGGGGGAAGAAATCACAAAGGGGTGAGTTAAAAAAGGCAGATTGCAGGCATGTCTCTCACAAAATGTGGTTTCTAGCTGATGCCTGCCTCCCTTGGGCTCCCTCCCTGATGGATACTGACACTTCCAGTGCTGGAGTTCTGTTCCTCCTGAGAATCACCTGTGAGCACATCTCCAGCCCCCTACCTCTCCCTGGGCTTTCCTGGGGTGGGACAAGGTGGGGGCTGCTTGGGCTGTCCCTTGGCTCACCCCAGTTCCCTGTCCCTATACTTTTGAAGGGTTTGGGGAGCACAGTGGGCTGGGAAGGGGAGCGCAGAGCCTGCAGCGTGCTGGGCTTTGGCTCCATCCTCCCCTCACTGAACAGCCTCAGGTGGGGCAGCCCCAGCCCCCAGGGACCCTCGCCGGGGCTGCTGGCCGGGGTTCAGGAAGGGGGGTGAAACCTTGCTTTGCTGCTGGAGCTGTGAGGACCCCGCCCTGCCCCTGGGCAGCTCCGCAGCCTCCTCTGGGGCAAACGTGGAGAAAAAGGCCCAAAGCCCCTCCCTCCTGCCAGAGCCCTGGGGGGAGCCGGGCCTCCTCCCTCCCGGCCTTCTCCCGCCAGGCACCGGGCCAGAACCCAATAAACGCTTCCTAATGA